TTAAAATAACGTTTTAATTAAGCTAGTATATTTTTTAGTTTGTTTAGTTTTATTAATATAATTTTTAAAAAAAAGTCTTTATTATTTAAAGCTAGTTTTTTTCCGAATTATTATTTTTAAGCGCGTTTTTAGCCGAAAGTTAATAAAAAACGGAATAAGCGTTAATTACATTAATATAAACGGCAGCTTTATCGAGATAATCGCAAAAAAATATAGCCTGCTTTTTTATAGTTAAAATATTTATTTTCGCATATAAATTAAGCTATTTATTTAAAAATAAAACAAAAAACGCGTTTAAAAATAAAAATATTAATAAAAATACAAATACGATTTAATTTTCCGTATAAAAGGTTAAAAAAAGGCTTTTATAACTATAAAATATAATATTATTATTATTACGGCTATTTTGGTTATTATTTTTAATAGCCGCATATTATTTGCGAAAATTTTTATTATTACGATTAAAATTATAATAAAACGTTTTATAATATTTAATAAAAACATTAAAACGAATATTATTATCGAAACGTTAAATAATAACTAAGTTTTTAATTTTATTAAATAATTTTTTATAAAAATTTTTTTTTAATCGTTATAAAAAAGCCGGCGTTTATTAACGTAACGGATAAAGTTATTATAAAAAATCTAATATTTATTTAAGCCAAACTTTTTAAAAAAAGTTTTTTAAGTTTTTATTAAGCTTTTTAAACGCGATTAAAGTTTCGATATTTTATTCTAAAATAATCGATTAAAGCTTTAAAAATTATAATTTTATTAAAGTTATTACGATTTTTAAAATAAAAAGCAAAATTATAAGCGGCGTCGCCGGCTAAATAAAATTAAACGTTAATTATTTTAGCTTTTTTATTAAAAAACCAATCGTTATTTGTTTTTAGTTTGTTTTTTTATATTTAAAACTAAACTTTAAATTCGATTTCGTTTTTTTTATAATTAAAGCTTTAATATTTAAATACGTCGATTTTAATAAAGCGTTAAAAAGTAGAAATATTATTTATTATAGTTTATAATACGTTAAAAACACCGCGGTTTTAAAACATTAAATTAATTATAAATTAATTGATATTATTAAACTTATTTTCGGTTTTTTTAAAACGTTTTTAAAAAAACGTATACTTAATTATAAAATTAATTAAAACTTGTTTATTATTATTAGTTATATTAATAAAAACGCCGTTAATAGTACGGATTTAAGATTTTATAGCGTTAATATTAAAGTTTAAAACCATAACTTAGTAATAAAAATTACTAACTTATTTTTTATAAACGACGTAAAAAAAAACAATGTTTAATTTTTTATTAAAAAATAATTATATTTATTTAAAAGCATTTTTTAAAACTTTTAAAGTTTAAAACACCGGCGTATTTATTAAAAGCAGCCTTGCCGGATTTAATAACGGCGGAAAAAAAAACGGCTAAAGTTTTATTTTTAATAATATAAAGTTTAGCTATCGTATCGATTTTAAAAAAAAAGTCTTTTATAAAAACTTTAAAAGTAGTTTTATAACAGCTGTTTTTATATTTATTAAAAAAAATATATGCTTTAAAATCGTTAAGCGTAATAAAAGCTTTTTCGTTTTCGTTATCGTTATCGCCAAAAGTATCAATATAGGCAAAGTTATAAAAAAGCTTAAAAACACTTACGACGGCATTAAACGTACGTCGAAAATAAATACGGTTAAGCTTTTCGGGTTTAAAGAAAACTTTAATAAAGTTTTCGATTAAAAAACAAACTTTTTTAATAGCTTTAACGCAGGCGGTTTTTTTTAATAGCTTTTTTTATTTCGTTACAAGCTATTTTATTAGTTTTTATCAGGTATAAATTATAATAGTTTTAATAGTTTAGTTTTAGTAATTTAGTTTTAATAATCTAGTTCTAGTTTGATTTTAGTTTTAATTAACTTTATTATTATTACGTTTAGATTGCATTAAAAAACAAAGCTTTAATATAAATACTAACTATATATTAATAGTAAAATAGAGAAAAAAGAGGGGCTATATATAGGTAAGGTGGCAAGCAGGCTTTATATAGGGTGCTAAGGCGGTGAGCGGTAGCAGTACTGATAAAGGGGATAAGGGGTGCTATAGGGTAGGTTACGTCACTTTTATACGGCAAAGTTATCTCTAGTTATTTTTACAGCAGGTAATAGCTAGTTAATATTTTTACAGCATTTAATACTAGTTAAAAGTTTTTATTATAAAGCTTTTTTAAAAGCTTTAACGGCTTGTTAGGTATATATTTTACGGCAAGTTAACGCTAGTTATTTTTTACGGCATTGAATACTAGTCCAAAGTTTTTATCGCGAGGCCTTTTCGGAAGCTTTTACAACAAAAGCATTATTTTTACGGTAAGTTATAGCTAGTTATTATTTTACTATATTTAATGCTAGTTAAAAGCATTTATTACGAAACATTTGTAAAAGCTTTTTTTTATTAGCAGGCTATTTTAAAAATTTGGGTTATAGCTTAATATTTGTTAAAAGCTTTAATTGTTTATAGCTTAAGCACTTTTAAAGCTTTAACGCTATAGCTTAGGCATTTAAAAAAAGCTTTTATAATAAAGCTTATAGCTATTATAATAAGCACTTTTTAAAGCTTATATGTAGTATTTAATAATAAGCTTGAATATAGTTTAAAATATTTATTAAATAGTTTAAATATTTATTAAAGCTTTAAAACGGTAGCTTAAGTATTAAAAAAAAACTTTTAACGTATTTATTAATATTAATAATATTATTACTATTAAAAGCGTTAACTCTAGTTCTTAAAGCCGTTATTACTATTTAATAAAACGTTAAACATTATTATTAACAACTTTATAATAGCTAATAATTATATATATATATATATATATAATAATTAAGCTAAGTTATTATTTAATAACGTTTATTTTAATAAGATTATTAATAAGTGTTATTATTTAAAAGTTCATTTAACGTAGTATATATATACAGATAAAATAACATTTACTAGAATATAAAATAGTTAATATAGCCTTAATAACGTTTCGAATATACGTTTTTCGCTATTTTAGGCCTAACGGTAAAAAGTATGAAAATCGCGTTTTCAGCCCCGGCAAGGGTCTTCGCAAAGGGTAGTTACGTACTAGTAGTACTAGTTTATTAATACGTCACCTGATTGGTCGCCTAATTACCCTGGTCTCCCTAATAACCTATACTAATTAAATAAGGGACTGCATTACTATAAGTGCTGCAGTCTTGGTGGCTACTAGGGCTACCCCCCTTCCCTTCCTCATCTTATTATTAATATACATACGGTAACCACCCACTAGGGCCCTGCCTCTAGAGTGTAATCCACTATCGTGATACGTTTTATTAAAGATTGAAATGTTTCTATTTTATATTATCTTTTATTAATATATATAAATATGTTAAAAACGGAAGCCTTTACCGTTTAATAATAAAAGTAAATAATATTAAAGTAAAAAATAATTAATTATATAAGTCCTTTTTTTTAATAATGTATTAAAAAAGTATAGTTATATATAATATATATATAATAAAAAATAACTAAGTTAAATATATTAAATGCTTATAATATAACAAGTTAATATTTATATTGTTTTTAATAAATATATAAGCTTATTATATATGTTTAAATTATATAAACTTTTATAAACTTTATATATAAATTAGTATTTTTTATAATTAAACAGTTTTTTTTATTATTATATAACCGTTAATTATTAAAATACTATTTAAAGCTTTTAAATTATTTAGTTTAATTATGAAATAAATTATAGCCTTTTAATAATAAAAACCGAGTATAATATAATTATAGCACGTTAAAGTGATATAATAAGGCTGTACGCTTTAAAAACAACTAATGCACTTTAAAAGTGTTTTTTATTTAAAACTTAAAATTAATAATATAAACGTTTATTTTTACATGTTTTAAAATGGTAATTATTTTAACATTTATTAATATATAAATTATATAATTAATTAAGCGTAAAGTTTATAAAAAACCTATAATAAATTAAATTAAAATTGATAAAAAATTAAATTAATTTATATAATAAAAACAACTATTATTTATATATAATATATAGTTTAAGTTTTAAACATAAAGCCCCGTTAAGCGGTGCTAGGTCTTAAATTTTAAGGCCTATAGCACCTCTTTTAGCCACTACAGCCATACTCTAGCCAGGCCCTGCAACGATAACAAGGCCTATAGCGATAAGGCCTTGCAGCAACTCCAGCACCTCTAGCACCTTTAGCACCTCTAGTACCCCCTTGCAGCCACATTTTAGCTATACCAAGACCGCCAAGGCCTCCGTACGCGGTTCGGTGCGCTACCGCGCACCTCACCGCGCTTTACGGCCCCGGGGTCCCGGGGTCCCTTAATCAACTAAGCCACAAATCTACAATGCGTAAGCTACTACTAAGTGGCCTCCGTACGCGCTTCGGTTCGCTGCCGCTTATCTTAACGCGCTTTGCGGCCTTTTAGGGGCTTGTAGCTAACGTAGCTAAAGTGTGGCTACAGGGGGTGCTGGAGTGCCGGAAGTGCTGCAGGCTTTATCGCTGCAACTAATTAAAAGCCAGCATTTTCTAGGCCAAAAAAAAAATGACCTATATTGCAAGACCTGCCCCACTTATCCTGCCTGTCTGAAAAACTTTTTAACCCATATTAGCCCTTCGACGGTTTCGACGGCTTAGAAGGCTTAGAAACGACTAGAGCCCCTTTGTTACGCTAACTTTATTAGGTATAGCGCCCGTAATCCCGGCCTTTTAATTAGCTGTACTTACTTTAACCAGCAACCTCTTTAACCCATATCGTTCTTGCGATCAGATCTAAACAAAGCCCCTAAATTAAAATTTAAGCATAAACTTAAAGTTTTATACATAGTTTATTTAAGCTTAATTAAGATTTTAAAAGTAAAAAAAGTTTAAAAATATGCAGAGCTTAACAAGATTGAAAGAGAAGTCAAAGCAAATATCATGGAGAATTTGTCCAAAAAAGGGCTCAGCCGGGATTCGAACCCGGGGCCTCCTGCAATTTGAAAGCTTGGCTTCTGGTGTTACCCGAAGCAGGAATCATACCTCTAGACCACTGAGCCGGAATCGCCAACGAGCTGATGCTCATTCGCTGTTGCCTGTTGGTGTGTCATTAGACTCTATATAGACTGGCTTCATGGTGGGGCGCAGAGTGGGGACACCGCTTCCAGTCCACGCCCTTGCACCATGCAGCACCCCCCGCGTACCTAAATATTGCCCTCGCCTGTACGCACGTTGTGATTCCTACGCATTTACCTTAAGCAGAAATGCCATTCCATAACTGAAACCAAACCATTTTGTGTGATGTTAACACACACTGTGATCACCACTCTTAGACAATACAAAGAGAAATTCAGGCTCTGTTCGATAGGTCCCTCAGTGCATGGTTCGGGCACGACGTGGTGGCGCACATAGATCAAACTCCAATACCCGCCTGGCCTGCGTCTGGCCCTTAATAAGTCTAGATCTAGCTGAGTTAGCATCACTGCGGACAAAGAACGAGCTCTTTTGAATGCAACTAGATTGTTGTGTGAGAGCCACCACTTCCATCGAAACGACTTCTTCGTTAGGAGCAACGTTATCTCGTTGACCGAAACGCCGCATTCATATTTCTGGACCACGTTGCAGCCAATGAACATGATTCTGCAAGAAGCCCAGGATAGGCATGATATGATCATGGTAGAATGCTCGTCTGTTACTGATGTCACTCTCCTTGTGTCACAGCATGTACACAGCCCCTGGCGGGGATCCGACGAGCTGAAAGAAAAGCCTCGTGGATGCGACGGGAGGGGCGCTTCATTGCCACGTTAACGCATGCCCGCATGATAATGGATGTCGTCGATAAGCGAGTCGAGACGGTCAATGGTGCAGGGGCTGGAAGGATTCTGAGGCGCTTATTTGAGACGGATTAGGCAGTTTCCCGGTTTGACCATGGAACTATTAACGGCATATTGGCAATCCGGCTCAAACGTCAGCCATAGTTTCATCCATGAGAGAGAAGTTTTTGATCTAAGTGTTCTATGTAGATAACAAGACTCTAATGTGTTGTACAGTATCTTAAATTGAATGTTGGTATATCCAGCTCCTTGTGACAACATTTGAAGAGTATGGGGTGTTCGGACACATAACATGAAAAAGAGACATTGGTGTGAATAAATACTATGTCTAAGGTAAATTGTCAAACCAACCAGCCAGAACGCCCGCTATCAAATACAATCTCATGAGCCGCTTTTCCTTGTTTCAGAATACACGGTGGCAATCAAACTCTCTCTAACGACCCGGGCTCGGTAATTCATGACTTAAAGTGTTGGGATTGTGTAATTCATGAGTTGCAGGATAGGGCGGGTGAGGACTTCCATGCGGTTCGTACATATTGGAAGCAGGCAGCTCTTGAGGTGTATTGCCAATTGCTGTCAACTCGGCAGAATACTGCTGCTGCGGTGGGTAGGCGGCGTATTGTTGAGGATACTGCTGGTTGTACATAGCTGCGTTTACCGAATGAGGGCTATGAGAGTAGGCATTGGACATAGCAGGAGAAGTCTCGCCGGGGTTCTTCACGGGTGCATAGTATCCTTGCTGAGGCGTTCCGTGCATAGGATGAGTAGGGGCAGGAGATGCCTGAGGGTTGTATGGTGCTGCGTCCGGAGAGGTTTCTGCGCTCTTTTCGGATGATTGGCGGCGTCGCCGAAGGAAGAAGAAAACCAAGGCCCCGATGACGGCAAGTGCGCCTATTGCAGCAGCGACACCGATACCAGCTTTAGCTCCAGTCGACAATCCTGATGATGGTGATGATGATCCCTTTGTCTCGCCGCCGCTGTCCGAGTCAGAACCTTCGGGAGTAACAGTAGACGAATTAGTGACCTGGTCTGTAGTCAAAGCCTTCCACGATCCATCCCATGACGCCTTCCAGTCATTGCTGCTTGTTTGGATTGTAGTGTCGCTCTTCTGAATCGTCTTGACGTTCGCGCTGGGGATGTTCGGTCCAGGGGCTTGAGCGAGCCACCACTTCTTCATTCCCCAATGAGCTCCAATGAAAGCATCTTGAAGAAATGCTCGACCAAGCGTGTATTGGCCCGCAAAGCCAGTATAGCATGGGAAGTATTGCATGTCTGTATCCACAAGCGGCTGGGTCAAAGTGAGATTGAGGTGAGGGAAAGGTACGTTGATTGTGACGGTCTCGGTGTTAGAGCCAGCAGTGAAGTTGAACTGTAAGGCAGATGCCGAGCTAACGATCTGACTATATTTTGCGTCGTCGGTGTTCCAAATGTAGAGACCAAGCGCCTCGTTGTAGGTAACGGGTAGTTCTTTTGCGATTGCGTCGCATGTGGACTTAGGTAAAGTCAGATATGGTGAGCAGCCGTCGACAGAGACCTCGATACCTCCGGAAGGAATAGAGTCGTTGTTTGCAGCCAGGAGGCCGGATTTCGTGTCGAAGCTCCAAGGCGACGCGCCATCGATAACTTGAATACCAATATCTTTAAGATTAATAGATTTTGTGATGTCATCTGCATAGCTAAGAATCTCCCCTACGATGCGGTTCTGGTCATAGCCTCCGAAATAGAGCGAACCGCTCATGACTGGATTTGCTGAGCCAATGTGCATGCCGAAGCTGTTGGAAGGGATCTGGTCCTCAGCGTTCAATATCCCAGGAATTAAACTGGCATTTATCGGGGCATCGCTGGTGGAAAACGACTGGTTTACCGTTCCTGGCGCACCTATTCCCAAGCATCCTACGGAAAGGGGATACCATGTCTCATCGGGGTATACGGCGTACGAATTTGAAAGGAGTGCCATCGAAACGTTGGGTACCGACATGCCTCCAACGTCCATATAATCGATCCATGATGTTGCATCGTCTCCTGCTACATTGAGGCCCAACATGTAGTTCGGGCCTGGTGCGTACTGGATTGCACCCGTTGAGCCGGTATTGTCGATCTGTGATTCGGCGTCGTTGTAGACTCCGGCCCGAGTCGCTGCACATCCGTCAGATGTATTATGTCTGCAGTATTCACTTGTGAGAACGAAGGACTGAAATTCCCGACCCGGATACATGGCGACTAGTTGATCGGATCCGATAGTAACTTCCACAGCCGGCCATGGCCCATCTGGACCAAATGTCATACTTGACCATGGCACCTCGAGGGGGTCGATAGCCCCAACCACCGATGTTACGGTAAGAAATCCAGCGAGCGACAAAGACAGAGCGTGTGTAAGGGACGACATCTCGGATACTTTGAAAGCTCGACGGCGAACCAGGCGCGCACAGCGCAGAAAGTAGAAGAGTCGCACAATGACCTAGCTGCGGGTGAAAAAGAGAGCAGAAGTAAGACTAGACACAGATTACAATATGAGAATGAGTGAGTACGGAATACTAAAGACGAGGTTCCACGAACAGCCCTGAAGGAAAAACGACGGGGGACATCCACATGGCCCATGTGAGACTCTGCGAGTAGACATCCCCCGGCACATGAGACGATCCTCTACCATATGGGCTATCTCACGATCATAGCTCTCGGCTTATCTGCACACTGTACAGTTAGCGTGATGTTGTGCATCAAGCCTCCAGGGGCCAAATAATCTCAGACCTGCTAGGAAAGCGAAAAAGAAAAAGACAAAAATTGGGCAAGTAGCTTGACGGGCAAGTGAGCGTGCCCATCTCTTCCTAACTACAGCAATGGATATTAGGTATCGAACGACTGAAGAGCTCTGGTGAAGAGCGATACAATGTCTAGCCATAACCACGCCCTCGATATCTGGACGTGGCCAATAGCTTCCGGCATCGTGGTACAGTCCAAGCACACTGTGGTTGCCATATGCAGACCCCGGCGACAGGACAGGATAGGAGATTCTGTTCGAAGATAGGTCGGCGAGGTCGGTCAGGCCCTACGGGTTGGTTCTGGCTGTGTTAGGATGTCGCGAAGTGCGTCGCTAAACCCATTCGCATAATGTCGAAGGATCAAACCCGCCAAGCTTTAACCGATTCGAGAGCTAGTGCTGACCTACGAGGGATCTAATACCTTTGGCGCTTCTTAACAGACGAGACAGAACTACAGACCTCCCCCCGTCACCCTTGAGCTTGTAAGTTGATAGGCCCACAGGAGATGAAGAGCCAGCCGGGCCAGGAGGCGAGGCCAGCCGAAGAAGTCTTAGGCTGAAGAATTGTACTCGAGAGGAGCAGTCAGGTTTGAGTCGGCTTTTGCCGTGCAGCCTTAGCATTCATTGAACTCTGTGTCGACGTTCTCTTGCACCCCCTTTCGGAAAGATGCGAAGAGGCAACTGTCATTTCTGATTGACTTTGCTGATGCGCCGTTGATGGACTGCAGTGTATCGAACCTTGAACTTCAAGAATCGGTCTTCGTTACTGGTGAAGCTGCAGCACCACGTGTTGCTTCTGGCCCCCCTGACCCTTGCCGAGCCCTTGATCGATGGGCAATTAAGGATCAGCTTGGAGTTCCTAGTGCTCGGCTAGTGGTGGTGCCAAAGAAGCCATTGGGTGGCGGGGGTGGCTCGGTGATTCACTTTATAATTGGAAACCGTCGACATAGCCTGGCCTGCTCGCCTGCTTTGGTAAGCACTGGTAGTAGTATTTATGACCTGACGAGCTGACGAGCCTGAGATGAGATGCCGCCGCCCCAGAAGCCCACACCAGACTCGGTCCATATGCTTCTTAATGCTTAGCGGCTGCTCAACTACAGTTCATCGGACACCTACGGAATAGGTACAGATTGACTCTTAAGCCCGCATCGGAGAATCGAAACAGCTGGGCAATGGGCTGAGTGACAAGGTTTGTGAAGCGAAATGGGTAATCGCAATGTTGAACATTAATAATAGAACGCGCGGAACGATGGAAGAAACAGGAGTGCAAATGTCTGATTCGGGGCTTTTGTTTCCCTGTTTCTCCGTTTGCCTGTGCTTCTCTAGACTACTACATTTTACGTGCCCTCATGTCCTCGATAAGTCAAATGGCAAGAATCATACTCATAACTTGCAGCAAAAAATTATGCATAGCAATACAAGATTGATGTGTCTCCGATTAAAATGAAGACAACTCTCGAGCTCCTTG